CAACTTCCAAGGGAAGTGGTGCTGGCTCCTACCCTGGGGGTCTTTAAGAAGCTGCTCGATGCCTACCTGGCTGGGGTTACTTGAGCCCAGTTTCCCTCCTGCCCAGGCAGGGGGGTCGGACTTGAAGGTCGACAAGGTCCCTTCCGACCCATCTTCTATGATTCTATGACGTACCCCCAGATTTCTGCATGGGGTGTGGGTGGGTGTGGGCTGCCCATTGAGGGCTCAAGCTCCCCGTCCTGCTGCATTCCACAGCCCAGCAGGTGGGATCTGGCATGGCAGGGCAGAGTGGGGCAGAGAAGCTCAGTGCCGCTGCTGGGTGCCCTGTGCTGCCATGGCTAAGTGCCCCCTGCCTGCCTGGCAGCAGTGGAGGTGGCAGTGCAGAGTTGTGCCCCTTGCTGTTGCTGGGCAGGAGGGGGTGCCTTACCATGGTGGTGCAGAGCTTGTGGTGGTGGCAACAAGCTTCCCTGCCTGGCCCCATGCAGGCCTGCCATGCTGGGTCCTGCCATCTGGGTTGCAGAGGCCCCAGGGGAAGGGAAGCAGAGCAAGGAGCCTGAGCCCATAGCGGGCAACCCACATCCGCTCCCCGACAGACTCTTCTCTGGCTGTGCTGCCCATGGGGGAGAGGGAGCGGAGCTCCATGCTCTGCTTGGTGGCAGCTGGGGCTTGGGGGCTGGTGCAGGGGGCTGTGAACCAGGACCCCTTGCCCTGTAGCCCTGGGAAGGGGCTGTGGTTGGGGAGTGAGGGGCAATGGCATGGGCAGGGCACCAGCATATCAGGACTGCTTAGCGTTACAAAGCAGTGGGAAGGGCAGGGACAGCTACAGCTGGGCCTGCATCCTGGTGAGTGAAAGGGCAGGGGGAACTCTGATTGATTGATTGATTCATTTATTTTTATGATAAAAAACCCAAAATCAAACTCCAAAATTTATAGGTATTTACAATTTATTTTAGTATAGTGATTGAGGCACTGATAGGTTTCCAAATTACTTAATATTTTATTGATATATTTACAATTTTTGTTTAACTCATATATATTAGTGGCATTGCATTGTAATAATTGAAAAATGCAGATTTGGGGTCTTTCAATTGGAGAATTTGCAATTGTTTTTTAAATCGGAGGAATTTGTGACTTTTAAATGGAGAAAACCAGGATCCCTTCTTATGAGGAAAGGCTAAATGAACTAGGGTCAGTTAGCCTAGAGAAGAGAAGACTGGGGTGGGGGGAGATCTGACAACCCTTCAGGTATTTGAAGACTTATTATAACGAGGATGGAGATGAGTCTTTCTCTGTGGCTTTAGGGGACAGGACTAGGAGCAATGGCCTCAAGCCACAGAAGGGGAAATTTAGCCTGGAGGTTAGGAGGACCTTTGACTATGGGGACTGTCAAGCGTTGGAACAGGTTCCCTAATGAAGCTGTGGAATCTCCATCCTTGGAAAGCTTCAAAAGCAGCTTAGACAGACACTTGGCTCAGATGGTTTAGTCAGGGATAATCCTGCCTTGAGCGGGGGGCTATACTAGTTGACCTTGTGAGGTCCCTTCCAGCCCTACTTTCCTATGATACTGTAAACCCTGGATTAGGAAGGGGACCAGCCAAGAGTCATTCCAACAGCCTGTGCTAGCCAGGGACCCACCTTATCCTGGACAAGTTTGCCAGGGTGCATTTTTCACCTGTCTGCATTTGTCCTGATATGATTTAGGGATGCATGCCTGCTTGGAACATCATTTTGAAATGAATGGATATTTGAATGCCACATCAAGTGCTTTGTTTACCTAGTAAACAAAATGTGAGTCAAAGCTTCATACGGTTGAAAAGACTTTAAGAATGCAGCCTGTAGTTCTCAAACCCTATTGAGTAATCTTCATGGGATGATTTATTTTGCTCTTTCTCCCCAGAGGTACTGAGCCTCTGTTGGTCTCTTTGAAGTTAATGGGGATCTGCCTTTGGGCTTCTTACTCTAAGAGCAGAACTTCATGGCAACTACCATGAGGAAAATATACAGCTTGTTTATGCCATCAGGTGATGAATTTATTACACCTTGAAAGGTCTCAGTGAGATTGCAGGAGTGTCATCAAATGGTGCTCTTGCCTCCCTCACTATTACTTATTTTATAGGCAGTGGCAGGACCATAGCTTATAATGGAGTGTGCATGAGTAGGCAGGTATTCTAAATCTGCTGATCCCTTAATTTTTCCCAGCAAAAGAATCTGGTATTACTACCACTCCAGAGAAGAAAATAGACTCTTCTGTATTCTCCTCAGCTCAGCAATCTGCAAGCACCTGAGATAAGCGTTTCTCCTTCTGAATAAATGCATTTGAAAATCAAGGCTCTAACTAAAGTTGGCACTTCTGATCCACCCACTGGTAAGAAGCTACTTGCTGAAAAGTAACACCTTTTGTGACATTTTATGTGGGAGTTTGGAAGACTAAAAGCTCATAATAAAGTCTTCAATCTACTTTAATACTGGTTTAATAATCTTTCCAGGCCTAGTTGTGATCTCTGACCTGGAAAAGATTATTTCAATCTTGGGAACTATTGGGGTGGTTGAGAGACTACAATCAGCTACAATTCCTGCTCTGTCAAGGCTCTGCAGGCTTGCTTTGAGCACGGTAAGTCTGCTTTGTGTGACATACCTGTGCTCCAATACAACGTATGTGAAAGCCACTATGAGGAAAGCTTGTGCCCTACATACCTGAGTTAGCCTGGTTGGCTTGCAACTGCCTGAAACTATGTCGTTCATAGGCTTATACACAGAGCCTGTCCCAAAAGTGTGGAAATGCCAGCGATCTTTATTTAAGAACAATTTATTCTTTTGGCAACGGCAGCCAAAAAACCTCTCTCATAGGACCTTAAATCCAATTTTGTAACAGCTGCCCATGGCAGCGCTCCAGGAGACGTAGCAGGTATGTTGTTTTGTTCCCTCGGTGCCAAGCGTAGATAGGAGCAGAAATTGTGGGAGTTTCAGCTGGCATTGCAGGGGCTGGGGGGAAATGCAGAAATGTTGACCTAACTCTAGGAGTATTTGTGTGTGCAGAGTGGTGACTTGGGCAGAACAGGGATTAAATGCCATGCACTCTGTTTCCTTATACATTTTCATTACATAATCTTTGCAATCGCCTATGCCTGATGAAGGGTGCCTGTGCCTGAAAGCTTGCAAATAAAGATTTTTTGGGGGTTTTTTTGGCAAATATCTAGTCGGTTGAATAAAAGATATCACCTCTGCCACAAGTTTGGACTCTGTTTACTTGGCTTTTCTGGGTCAACTTTATTCTGATTCTGAGTAGAATAGTAGGTTTGGTGTCCTCTGGCTGTTCTTCTTGAAGCTGGTGGGTTCCTGGGAACATTTTTGGTTTTGACAATTGTCATTTTCTGGAGGAAAAAACTGCTCCATCCAAAATTTCCCAAATGGCTCTAATTCAGAGATCATTTCATAAACCTGGTACATTTCTTGTACTGAAAGGAATAAAGCTTGTGAGCCATATCCTTGCATGTAAAATCTCTAGAGAGCCTTTTGTCTACATTTTGCATGTACATTTTTCAGCCAAATATAAACATCAGATTTAGAGATGTGGTGATAGATGCATAAGAAATACAGGTAGAAATGCATGGATGCACGTCATTAACTGGGGAATTTTGGATCTATAACTCCCATAACTGGATTATGTTAATGTATATTGTATTTAGCTTTATTTTGTATCCATTACAAAAGCATGCACAGAATACACTCTATGTAATAGAAAGGACTCTTGGGTCAAATTTTCAAACGTTGGGAGTACTTGTGGCTGGAAAAATGTATACTCACTAAAAGATCTCCAGTTGTACCTTTAAAACATACTTATTAGGGACATGCACAAAATGTTATCCAGAGGGCTGAACAAACCGTTAGAAAGTTGGTCTGAATAAAAGAATTAAATTGGATCAGTAGAATGGTTTTTTGGGACCCTTTTGTGTCATGTGTCCCCCCACTACAGCTGAATTGCTCAAACAACAACATGGAAAGCACTTTTTAAATTCATGTGCTTGGGTGTCTATGCTTGGGGTGAAGATGTGAAGGCAGCATCAAGAGCCCATACACAACTTACTGAGAGGCAAAGGAGAATGGGCTCAACTCTGGGTACCATTTTCATTCTCTGTGAGGCAAAAGCTGGTGCCTGGGCAGTTACCTTGGGGTAGATGATGAGGTGGAGGAGGTCAGGCTTTGCTGTTTATAATAAATAATATATGTGGGTTGGGAAGGATCCTCTCCCCCCTCACCCCCCTACTGCTGCATGTCAGCTATTTTTTTTTAAATCTTGTTTTTAAGCCTTCTTCAGAGGCATTGGGTGTGTACTACTGTCAAAGCTGGGGATTTTGACTGGGCTGTGCCAATGCTCCTGCTGGGACTTAAACCCAGAGGTTCCTGGCTGGAGGGTCTTGCCCTCTACTCAGGGTCAGACCGATCACCAGATTTGGGGTCAGGAAGGAGTTTTACTCCATGGTCAGATGGGTACGAGCCTGGGGGTTTTGTCTTCCTCTGTAGTGAGGGGTGTGGACCTCATCCTGCAATCTTTCCAGCATGTATTAACCACCTTTGCAGCAGCAGGATGCTGATTGCCATTGTTCCCCTGTTTTACCTGTGGCAGGCAGCATGTTATATCTGGGGTTTTGTGACAGGGGTGACTGTGTAGTTTTACTAAGAGACTAGACAATGGATTTGTACATGATGATCCTGCCTTGGGCGCAGGGTTGGACTAGATGACCTCTTGGTCTCTTCCAGCCCTACTTCTCTGTGATTCTGTGTCCATGCTGTAAGCCTCTCATGCACTTCCTTGATCCTGAATTTGTCCTTTGGTTTCAGTTAGCCAGAAGGCTCCTCTAGCTATGAATGGAACCAGTGGGCTGTTGCAACTGGGAGGAAGTGCTGGGATTTATGCCCCATAGATAAAGGCTTTCTAGTACCAGAATATTTCTCTATGCTGAGCAGACTTTCAACTTTTGTGACCCTAGGAAAGCCATACTTGTTTGCCACCTGAGGATCTGTTCCTTCAGGTTAAGGCTGCCTAGCATCAGTTGAGAACACAGCAGTTGCCAGTACAGTGGCACATAGGGGCCAACACTTTCAAAACTATTCCATGCTTTCCCTCATTCTTACCTCATCAGTGACTAGATGGTATGGGTGAGCAGAGCAGCTGCAGTTCCCTTTTAAAGGGAAGACTTTTCCTTGACATATCAGTAGGGATAAAATTTGGTTATTTAAATAAATATCCTTTAGACTGATGGTACGAATGCTCAGCTTCTGCAAATGTTTCCATCTCTTGGAAGGATCTGAATGCGTCCTTGAGAGAATCGGGACACCTCTTCAGCTGAGCGCAGTGGACGGATGCAGATGTCATGGGGTCTTTAATTTTCACTCCTTAAATTTATTCTCCTTCCTTCTGATTATCTTCTCCATGGGGTGTCTGCCTTTTACGTTGTGGCAAATGGAGTGCTGGGGGAGATAGACATAATGTTTTATTAGCAGCCTCTGTTTAATGCAACGTTGCTAGTCCTGTGGACTAAATATGTTAATAAATGTAATCCCTCTATGAAGAACTGACAACTAGCACTTGTTTGGAGAGCTGTAAAAGGACATGTATACTATTTGGAAAAGCTTGAAAAACCAAATCTTCTCTCTTTCCTTTCTCTAAGTCTTGACCCAAGGGTCTTTCCTATTTAGTTCCAGGATTTTGCTTTGAAAAAAAAAAAGGGGGGGGGGGGGGGGGGGGGAGAGGGGGCAGTTTTCAGCATGTGTAGAGAGTCTTAGCTAACTGACTGCATGACAAAGTTGAATCTTATACTTTTTATGACAATAATCCTGAGATCAACAGGCTGTGTTACAAGAAATGAGGTAATAATATACTGAGAAGGAAAGCCTGCTGAGTAAGAAAATACAGTATAATTCTAATAGAGGGCCGTGTGTATTTAACAGTAGGGAATACAAGACCAAAAAAACAATTTCAGTCCATTTCTCACACTCCTCTTTGTATCAAATTACCTGAAAATCCAGGCCTATGAACACCTCTCTGTAGGACCAAGGAGAGGTGCCACTCCATCAGTGAATCTAAGAGAGGAGACAAAAGCTTTGTAAAAATAAGCCAAATACAGTCACGTATAGTCATGCTTCCTTTTCCTGTTTATGCAGTATGTGCATCCAGAGAGCCTCGGTGCCTTCCTAAGCAATTGGCTGCACAAGGGAAATCGGTCACCCCAGCGTAGATCTTATGTAAGTTGTCGTGGTGCATTCAGTCCACATTGGCTATTCTGTTCCGACCTTTTAAACAGCTCTCACCCTGCCTGAGGTAGTAGCACTGCTCTGTGGATACCTACATCACAGTTCATCTGCTTGAATAAACTATTGTAAAGCCTGTATGGGAGGAGAGTTGAGCCTTGCATGCCTAAAATTTTTAACGTTTCTATATGATGAACAATGTATCCTATTTGCTCTGGAATTAAATAGTTCTGATCATGGCAGCTACAAGTAGCATATGATGGGTGTAGGCAGAACTAGGCTTGGAGCAACAATTGCATTAGTGAAATTGAAACACTAATGTATTTTCTTGACAGTGCAGTCACCCGTTATTGGATACAGCAATAATGAATGTTGCTGAGAATAATCCAAACGCAACAATACTAGCAATATTTGTGAGCTGACAAGAGTAAGGCATTGCTGCCTACAGTGCCATAATAATCCTCTGTTGTACCCAAGCCCTTGGTACATTCACTGTGCATTCCTCTACATGGGTAATTTGTACATGTATTGTAAAATGATGTGCTTGGAGGCCATGGAACATGCCTTGTCTTGTATGCTGCTTTTGCAGTTAGGGGAGCGAAAAGCACCTGCAATGTGGAGCACCCGAGTGCCTCTTGTGACCATGCTCAAGTGACAAGAGTAAGACCAGACACTTTCATTCCATACAGTGACTTGGATAACTGGGCCAAACTCTACTCCCAGATGTATTACAGAGGAGTAATACCAGTGGGCCTCATGTATACTGGTGCACCTCAAGTGTGTCTTCAATAAGGTAATACAAGTGAGTCAGAACCAGGTTCATTGACTTCATGGGATTTCTACTTCATGCAAATGAGAGCAGAATTTGGGTCACTGGATCAAATATTTACCTGGTATAAATTTAATGCAGATTCACTGAAGTCAATAGAGCTACATTAATTTATAGCAGTGGAGGACCTGGTCTAGTATTTCTTCTGATTTATGTCACAACCCAAAGTTGTGGTTTTTCTTGTTTGTGTGTGCTTCGGCATCGCTAAATCATGTTCCCGCCAAATTGCAGCTCTTTTGCACGGTGGAGTGTTCTGTTGCAATTAAGAACCCGCGTGCAAGAGTTTTTCCCACCAGTTCTGTAGCTTTCTTTGCATAGTGCATTCCTTTTGCATTATAGTGATGCATGATGCAAAGGAGTTCCTGCCATTTGTATTTAGATTCATGCCACATTATTGGCGGGTTCTAAATGTAGGCATACGTGGCGGCTAGCTATTGGCTTGCTAGCCGTACAAAAGGCTTGGGTAGTTTCCGCCCAAGTCGGAGAGAGAGAAAGCACGTGGAGTTCAGGAAAGGAGCGTGAGGATTTCTAAGCACTGCTGATCCCTTCGAACCCAGCTTTTTCCTTAAGAGGGCAAAAGAGGTTTAATTTGTCGAACCCACGGAGCTTCAACAACTCCGGGGGACCTATTTACCGAACCCTCGGAGCCTTAACAACTCCGAGGCACATAACCTCTAGCCTCTCCCCGTCGCCGATCGCAGCCCAGACGTATCCCTGTCCTAAGGACCCAATTGTCGAACCCACGGAGTCTTAACAGCTCCGGGGGACCTGGGAACCGAGTAACCCACGGAGATACAGCTGCTCTGTGAGAACGAATTATTGAACTCGCGGAGCCTGAATCACTCCGGGGTCAAGGAACTGAGTCTATTAGAGAACTCCACCGAGAACTCAAGCGGAGCTGTGCCTGGAAAGCTGACCAGCCTACACCGCGACCACCTGGGGTGTAAGTAAATAATCTTTTCAATCAACCATTACGCCTCCGTGACTGATTCTAGCTCAAGCGTACCATACCGCGCCGCGGTTTTCTCCAACCCCACGTGCCCGGGCTGCTGGCCACAGCCTGTGTGCACAAAGACAGGCCCGGCTCGCACATGGTGACCCAGATGGGATCGGGAGAGAACTCGCACATGGCGACCCAGGCGGGATCGGGAGAGGGCCCGCACAATTTAAAGCAGTGTAAATTTTTGCTTCAAAGCACTGAGGTTCTGACACACACTTGCAGTAGAAACACCTTATTTTGGGAGAAATCCCAGTGAAATGTGTAGTAAAGATATTACTCAATGTGAGTAAGGGGATCAGACTCTCTGGTGGTAAAGGAAAAATCACAATAACTTGCTTTTCTGAGGCTTCCTTTAAACTTGTCTTTGAGGCATCTGGAGGCTTGCAGCTTGCCCTTGCAAGCTCTAATGGGATAAATATTCTCTTAGTAAAGATATCATTTCAGAGCGTTTCCTCCAGGCTTTGGAAATTCCACAGGCCTGACTAAGGTGCGGCAGTGCTACAGATATGTTAGGCTGCAAAGGCGGGTGCTTTAGAGGTTTTCTGTACCGTGAGGTCATCTTGAAGGATTGGTGTATTTCTTTGATGGTTGTCCAAAAATCCCTCGTAGGGTTTCAACTGGTTTAAATCTCAAAGCATTCATTTCTGTGACTACACCAAATTATCAGCAGCAGGTCCAATGTTTCTGTCTCCTATAGCTAATGAGTCTCATGGGAAACAGGGTGGTCATACAGTCAGAATAAGAGGGACGTTTCTTTCTGGTATAAAACGGTTCATCTGGAATTTTGCCCAGTTGCACATTACCATTTATCTGCACTTGGATCCCTAGTTGAGATCGGGACTTTTGGGGGCTTCATGCTATATGTATATAGAATAAGAGAGAGCCCCTGTCCTCAAGATCTTGGGACTTATCTGTATTGGCAAGAGAGTGCATAGTAAGCTACTGCCTAAACTTACAGTGCCTTAAATTTTCCTTAGTGCCCACTCTCAGTACCTTGCCTCATGTGTGGAGTAGTTTATTTCACTTTGAAAGTGGAGTAAATTACTTTGCATTCTGTGTATACTCAAAAGTACTCAAATAGGGAGTGTGTGTGGAATAACTAGTGCACTGTGAATTCCCACTTTGGCTTACTGTGCACTAGTTTCACTGTGTAGACAAGCCTTTACAATCTAAAATTGGCCAGATGGAGGAAGATGGCCGGCATCACAATTAGGTTAAGAACTTGGGAAAGAGAAGAGTTTTCCTAGAATTTAGAGACTACTTACCCAAGTTAAATATTTGCAAATCAGCAGGGCCTGAAAATGTACCTTGGTACATTTAGGGGATGGGTTGAAGCAAACTTGGAGCCACTAGTGGTTGTTTTTGAGGACTCTTGGAGGACAGGTGAGGTTGTAAAAGAACAGAAAAAGGCAGATGTGGTGCTTGCCTTACAAGAAGGCAGGGGCAGGGGTAGCAGGACACAGGGAATTACAGAGCAATCAACTTGACATCAATTCCTAGAAAGCTTTTGTCCAAGCAAATAGACTGTCTGATTATTTGTTCCAAAGATGTGAAACCAAAACAAAGGAATTTACAGATGGTGGGGGGGTGGAGGGGCGGTCCATGTGTTATATCTTGACTTTTTATTAAGGCTTTTAATACTGTCTTGCATACCATTCAGATATGCAAAGTAGGGAAATATAGTCTGGATCAGGGATGCTGAACCTCCTGCCCCTGCTGGTTGGATTCATGCCATGGCTGGGTTCTGTGTAGGATCAGTGTGTGGGGCTACATTGCAGCCCATCCCCACACACCCAGATGCGGCCACAAGCGGCAAGTAATGCTGCCGCTATTTCCCTGTTGCCAAATTTCCAGATCTGTGGGGAGCCCCATAGGCTGAATAACATGGCTCTGCAGGCCAGAGGTTGAGCACCCCATGGTTTAGATCAGTGGTTCTCAACCCTTTTTTGACCAGGACCCATTTGTAAACATTGACAGTCAGTCCCAACACCCTGCTCCCAGGCCCCAGCCCCCCCGTGTGTGGGGAAGAGGGTGCATGTGGGCCAAGGGGGCCCCCCCAGGCAGCCCCTTGTAGGCTGGAACTTGCAAGCCTGCAAGGGAAAAGCCATGGTTTCCGACATTTTTCTGCTTTAAAGGAGAACCCATTTTAAACATCTGTTCATGACCCTTTCATATAATTCTGTGACCCATTTTTGGGTTGTGACCCATGAGTTGAGAAATGCTGGTCTAGATGAAACTACTTGGGTGTGTGCACAACTACGTAGAAAATCACACTCAATGGCTCGCTGTCAACCTGGAAAGATGTATTAAGTGGAGTCCCACAAGGGTATGTTCTGGATCCCATACTAGTCATTTTTTTTCATTAATGAGTACAATGATAGAATACTTAAGTATTCAAATTTTACTTATTTAAATTTACAGGTCATGCTAAACTGGGAGGTGTTACAAGCACTTTGGAAGGCTGGATTAAAGTTCAACATGATCCTGACAAATTGGCTTGAGACAAATAGGGTGCAATTCAGTAAGAACAAGTCTAAACTACTGTGCTTTGCTAGGAACAATTAATGGCACTGCCCTTAGAGTTGCGTTGTCTGGCCCACAGGGCTTGTGAGTGGGTAGGTATTTGGGGACAGTGCTGTCCACTGATAGCCAGGCATGGAGGCCTGTCCCTGGGGACATGTTTGCAGTGGGTGGGGGGTGGCAAGTGACAGCTGTAGTAACCCCCATGCCACCACTACTGCTCATCCCATCAATATGGGGAGTAGGGTAAGTTTGACAACCCTGGACTACACAAAGGTAAAATAGCAAATGACTGGCTATAGCAGTTCTGCAAAATGGATCTGGGGATTATAGTGGATCACAAACTGAGCACGAGTCAACAATGTCATCCTGTTCTGAAAACCAAAAATCATACTGGGCTATGAGTGTAAGAGGCAAGAAGTAATCCTTCACTCAATTTGGTACTAATAAGGCCTCAGCTAGATTACTGAGCAGTTCTGGGCGCTGCATTTTAAGAAAGTTGTGGACCACTTAGTGTGCCCTGAGGGGAGTAATAAAAATGATCATAAGTCTAGAAAATGCAAGCTATGAGTAGAGATTGAAAGATTGGGGTTGTTTAGTAAGGAAGAGAAGACTGATATGATAAGTGTGTTGTAATGTGTAAGACACTATTGGAAAGAAGAAGGTTAATATACTGTCTTCAGTGCCTGTTGGGGATGGAACGAAACATCATGGGCTTAAATTGCAGGGAGGGAAATTTAGGTTTAAATATTAGGAAAAACTTTCCAACTGAAAGGATAGTTAAGCACTGGGATAAATTGGCCAGTGAGACTGTGTTTTAAAGGTTAGACAGACGTCTGTTAAAAATGGTTTAGATACAATTGATTTTGCCTTGGAGCAGGGTGGTAATTAGATGACCTCTTGAGATCCCTTCCAGCCTTATTCTCTCTGATCATATGATTTTGAGAGAGGAGATATCATCCCCTTTTTGCTTATGGAGAACTGAGACACAGGAAGATGAAAGGATTGATTAGAGAGAGGTACTTTTAGGTTCCCCCAACTTAAGCGTTACCCTGCTGGGGCCATTTGGGCATTGTGATTCTTGGAAATTAGGTTAAATACCTTGGTTTCTCAGTCAGTGACAAGAGTTGGGTGCCTCTAAGAGGGAAACTAGAGACCCCAAATGCCAAATGGAGTTCTGCCTAGAGCTATCCATTGGGGAAAAAAGAAATTAGGCACAGCATTGTCTGAACTCTCACCCGTACCCAGAGCATAAGTATAAAGTGTCCTAATGGTCAGCTATGGAAGAGTTTGTTTGGGGAAAACTGCAGTATAACCAGAAGAGTCATAGGCCCAAAAGGAGTGCCAGCAGAGGGGGTTCCTGGGTACTGGCTGTTCATGCTTTTTTTTTTTTTTTTTAAATAATAGACAATCATTACATAGAAGACAGACTATCTTGGAATCAGGGACCCTTGCTGAGTGCACTATTTAGGTTACAGCTATATAAAATATAATTATGTAACATATGGAAATAAAAGTGTATTATCAAATCAACTAATAAAGATATATTAATTTTAACCTTCCTATTGATCAAAAGTTATCAGTGAGAAGCTCTATTTTTCCACCTTAAGGCTGTAAGGTCCAGATTTACAGGTAGCCATCCATGTCTAATCATGGTTCTCTATATATATATTAAAGAGCAAATGACTACATAAGCAATTTCAGTTGACTGAGCAGACAGGCTTATTGCAATGTTTATGTAGTTACATTGGCAAGTTATAGATGAAGATTTTTTTTTTTGTCTCCAAAGTTGATATTTTGACCCCTAGGTAAGCCATCTGGTGAGCTGTAACATGTTGGGGTCCCAGGGGTAGCCATGATGCCCCTAGGGCACCTTCATGTTTTTCTGCCATGCCTTGATAGAAATATAAATAAATAGGGAGGTTGCCCACAGACCTTTGTGTAGCTCTGGTTCCACCAAACCCCCACTAGGATCCCTGGCACCATAGTAGTCCTCACTGGTCCCAGGCTCCTGGCTGGGCCTCTGTACTCTTAGGTCCCTGACTGGGCACCCAGCACCTTAAGGACTAACTGCATGGCTCCAAACCCTTCCCTTTACCACACCCTATGCTTGCAGGTGTTATGATAACATTATTCCTTCTGTGGGGTTTCAGCCTCCTCCCCTTTAATCTAGCTAGACATTCTAGCCTGGGCCTACTGAATTGGACCGGACATTGAGGTTCTAGCCCTTCCATCACCAGGCCCCGGTCTGCTGGGCCTCTGGCCCCTGTCTGGCCGTGCCCTCCTTCACTGCCAGCTCTGGGCTCAATAACTGCTTGAGCCTGCCCCTGAGTCTCCCCATCGAGCCTCATCCCAAACCACTGGTGTAACAAAAACAACATAACAACAAAGTAACAGCCCTCTGTCCCTTTAAGAGGGCAAACCTTGACCTCTAGCATAATGTGCTGCCTAACCAGGGTACCTCTCAAGTTTCCTGAGACTCCCTGTCCCTGTAGACAGCAACCAGTCAGCCCAGCATCCCTGGACAGGGGTCCTTGCCCTGTGGCAGGCAGGAAGATTCCCCTAAGCCAGCTTCAGCCTTTGGTTTATAAGCTCCCAGGACCTTGCCTACATCTAGTCATGTGACTGCCTGAGTTGGCTGCTAATTACCTTGTTAGCCCTGTTGCCTCAGCAATCTGCAGCTGCTTCCTCCTGCTTAGCCTGCAAGAGCTCCTTGGCTGGGCTGCTTTTATCTTGAAGTAACAGGAAGCCCCAGGCACTCTGTTACAGAAGTGCAGTGGCAGAGTTGTTAAGGCACCTTTGTTTGGTTCAAGGTGTGAGCATGAATCTGGATCCTGACTTGTGCTGATGGCTGCACTTAGTTCACCTGGCTGGAAACAGGTACCTGGACTTTGGGGCTGGGGTGTCAAAGGTAGCCAGATGTAATACTAGCCACATGATTCTCTTGCATTTTTGGCTGTAATAGATTAGGTATACCTCAGCTATGCTAAAGAATGGGCTGTTGGTCTCAAGTAGGCTTTTGATATAAACTGTCTTTTTCTTTCAAAAGCAAATCGGGCCTCTTACTTTTGAAGATCTTTGGGTTTATGCTGACAGGGGGTAGAGGAAGGAGCAATACCAGTTACATGCAGTCTTAGAACTTCAGTGAGAAGTAAAACTCCCTATGGAGACCTCTCCTTCAGGTAATTGTAACAGAGAGCTCCCTCTTCCTTTAAGGTGAAAGCAGCCCAGGCAGGGAGCACTGCAGGCTAGGCCTTGCCTTTCCAATATGCATCTCCTTGGTTGTTTGTATGGATCTCAGATTGAACTCACTAATCAGTGAGTTTCTGGTTTACTGGAAGACTGCTTCAAGGAACTGCTGCTGTCACTGCCAACATTAGCTGTTCTAGTCTCTCATCATTTAGCCTCATTCTCATAACTCATGATGAATGAATCGGCTTCTTCCAAGAAGGCATAGAAAAAATTGTAGTGGAGATAGCAAGGGGGGTTGTTTCCTTGTAGGGCCATTAGAGATAAAAATAATCTACTTTTTCTGATGATTCGTCAATGCAGAGAATATTGTTTCACTGCTGAGTTCTTTGTCTATAGTACAAAGGTCAATCAGAAATGAATGCCTCCTATATTCTCGGCCACATATTATTTTAAAAATATGTACGCGTTTTCTGTGAAAGTTTAATCACTGCTGAACATGCAGTTATTTTTCAGTGTAGTCTCTACAGGATAAGGCTGTTAAAGTCCTTGTCCTTGACAAACAGATGGAGACTGTGCAACATCTTGAAAATGTTGCCCTCATAGTCTGTCCTCCATTCTTGGGTCTGCACCAAGGATGGGGCAGCATAGTCCAAACAAATGATGAGATTGCCTCTGTGGTGCATAGGCTTGTCCTGCAGAAGCAGCAGCTCGGACATATCTCTGTCAGGCCCTTTGCACGTGGTATTTCAGTTTCTTTAGGGTCTTGACAGGGTCTGAACCTGAGGTCACTGTAACTCTTTTAGGCAAAAAGATAACAAGAACACTCTCCATGTCCCTAGACGATGCATAAGGGTTGACAGTATGTGTGTGGGGAGGGCAACTCTGTGCCACTGCTGCGATCACCCCTGCTGTTGGCTTCGACCAGGCTGCAGCCCCATGCCCTGGTGTCAGTGCAGAAATCATGCCGCTGCCACCTCTGCTGCTGCTGAGCCCTGGGTCTGCCTGGGCTGCATCCCTGTTCCCCATTGCTGGCGCAGAAATCTGGGAGGGCACATGCCTTCCATCCATGCATTGCTTGTGTTCATGTCCATGGTTTAGGAGGCATTATTTTCTAAATGAACCTCATACTTCAGCTCTGTGGAAAGATAGGTACTCAGTCATTGCTCTAACCCTCTTTCATTTATGTAGTGATCTTTTGTCACTGGGACCTTTTTCTGTGTCTTTAGTTTTAATGACCAAAACATGTACAGCTCCAGACTTCATCATTCCATCCTGTGCAATGTGAAATGGCTCAAGAGAGTATTTCTCAAACTATTCCCATGCTCTGCTCCCTCCCACTGTCCCTGTCCTCTCTCTTACCCTAAACCTAACCCCCCCCCCGCCCCCTCCTCCCTTGCCCCTGGACTTTAGCCTCCAATGACTCATGAACACTCTCCTGTTTAGTGAAATGTGAAGGGCTGGGTAGTCCTAGCTCTTACAGGCTGCAAACAGGTGTCAAACTTGAGAATCTGTGGCGTAAGCAATGACAGGTCTATCAATCTGATTACTAAGGCATTGTCTTGTAAGCTAACATAGTGGGAACTGTCCCATAGATTCTCAGGGTAGAGGCTTGAAACGGGTGTCAAGGGCTCAATCTTTGTCAACTCTATTTGCAGTACCTGAAGTGGGACAAATTTTCTTGTGTAAATTCCCATTGATCTTAAGAGTTGCTACTATCATGGGCTCGGTTTGGCCCATAGAGTTCGCCTGCGTCAGTTCCTAAACCTGTCCAAACCAAATGGCTAATTTACCCTTTCCCTTGCACCAAAGGAACAAACGCACTGAACTTTTGATGTAAAAGCACATTCTTGCATCACAGATTGCTGTAAAACAGGCGAGTTCTACGTGTGGGGATAGCTAGGGGTGGTTTTACGAGCATACTTCTGTTAAAGAACTGCTCTGATCTTGCTTATTCGGTCTTGAAATTAATGTGTAAAGGAGGCCCATCAGCAGCTGAATGGACTATGATTAAGTGGATTATTACTATTACACAGCCCAACAAGTTGCTATTTGTTTCTTATGCTCGAGTGAATTTTGCAGTGCATATGAGTGGAAAGATCTGCACATAGGTTAATGTTAAAAAAAATGTTCCCCCTCCCAAAAACCCCTTGAACTAGCGAAGGATATAAATTTGTGGCATCTGTATACTAGTGAATTGTCAGTGTTTGGAAATGGAGGGTTCACTGGTGATTGCCTATAAACCTGGACTCGATTACTGTGAATATTCAATTTCAAACTAACATTAACCCAGTTACTTGTTTGCTCCTAGTGCTATAAAACAGGAACTGATTTATCAGAGCATCAAGCTGATTAAGGAGAGATTACCTGCTGTAGGGGTTTGTTTAAAACATTTGAGGCTTGTCCTCTGAATTACTTATGCTGTGTCGAATTAATTCCAGTCTTTAAACATTCAATTTGTAGGATTTAAAAAACCTTTAACTCTTTCTTTCTCTTGGTATCAAATATCAAGGAGAGATTATACAACCTTTTGGTCATGTAGTGCTCAGAAATCTCTAATTATCCCTGGAGTTAAAGGAACACCTTTGTGGTAAAGAATGAGAAGGATCAAAACAAAATTTGTGAAGGTTGAACCTATTTTGGGAGAATGAGTGAAGTTGATTGGGAGCTGTCACTTCTCGGGTCATGTTATGGATGGGGAATGTTGGTGGGGGACGTAGAAATGGATGGTAACTTTGTCAGCAGTGACCGTGAGAGGATTGAGTTAAGGATCTGGAGGAAAAGAAGGAAGGAAAGTAGCAGAGTAAGGACCCTGGACTTCAGAAAAGCAGACTTTGACTCCCGGAGGGAACTGATGGGCAGGATTCCCTGGGAGGCCAGTCTGAGGGAGGAAAGGAGTCCAGGAGAGTTGGTTGTATTTTAAAGACCTCTAACTGAGGGCACAAGAACAAACCATCTTGACACATAGGAAGACTAGCAAGTATGGCAGAAAACCAGCTTGACTTAGCAGGGAACTCATCATTGAGCTAAAACACAAAAAGGAAGCTTACATGTAGCGGTAACTTGGACAAATGACTAGGAAGTATAAGAATATTGCTCGGGCATGCAGGGATGAAGTCAGGAAGGCCAAAGCACAATTGGAGTTGCAGCTAGCAAGGGATGTGAAGGGTAACAAGAAGGGTTTCTACAAGTATGTCAGCAACAAGAGGAGGATCAGGGAGAGCGTGGGTCCCTTAGTGAATGGGGGAGGCAACCTAGTGACAGATTATGCAGAAACAGCTGAAGTGCTCAGTGCCTTTTTTTTTTTACCTCAGTCTTCACAGGCAAGATCAGCTCCCAGACTACTGCACCAGGCACCACAGTTTGGGGAGGAGGTGAACAGCCAACAGTGCAGAAAGAACAAGTTAGGGACTATTTTAATAAGTTGAACATGTACAAGTCCATGGGGCTAGATGCAGTGCACCCACGTGTGCTGTGGGAGTTGGCCAATGTGATTGCGGAACCACTGGCCGTTATCTTTGATAACTCATGGCAGTCAGGCAAGGTCCCAGATGAATGGAAAAGGGCAAATATAATGCTCATCTTTAGAAAGGGAAGAAGGAACTACAGACCAGTCCACCTCACCTCAGTCCCTGGAAAAATCATGGAGCAAGACCTCAAGTAATCCATTTCTAAGCATTTGGAGGAGACGGTGGTGATTAGGAGCAGTTGGCATGGATTCATCAAGGGCAAGTCATGCCTGACCAACCTGATTGCCTTCTATAATGAGGTGACTGGCTCTGCGGATGTGGGGGGAGCAGTGGAAATGAGATACCTTGACTTTAGCAAGGTTGTTGGTTGTAGCTGTGTTGGTCTAGAGACTGCGTACCAGAATGAATGCACTCTGAACATCCATCAAAAACAAAAATATCCAATTACCCGAGGGGCAACACTTCTCACAAGACAATCACTCCCCCTCTGATCTCTCAGTTCTAAAATCCTCAAAGGAAACTTTAAAAAACACCTTTTGTAGACGAGACTTATGAACTTCACTTCGTAAATCTATTGGATACAAAAAATCATGTACTTAATGTATCATAAATCCAATGTCTATATTATAACCTGCCTGACATCCAATTCACCAGGTACCTGCCTGAAGCTTACCATTTGCATTCCATCACACATTTTCCCCTGCCTCCCCCCAGCTCCATACCTATCTCTACCCATTGTCTTCCAAACTTCCACCTATTTACATTTTCTCAGGCTTCTTGTCACCTTTTTTTAGTCTCTTTTCTACCCTGGAGAACTCGGAACAACAAAAGAGTCTCCCAATGCCTGAAGAAAGGTGCCTGTGCCCAAAAGCTTGCAAAGAACTTTTTTCCAACTATTTAGTTGGTCTAATAAAAGATATCACATCTATCCAAAGAACCTTGCCTGCCTACTGACTTTAGCAAGGCTTTTGATGTGGTCTCCCACAATGTTCTCGCAGGTAAGCTAAGTAAGTATGGGTTGGATGAATCAATTGTAAAGTGGATAGAAAACTGGCTGGATGGTAGTGTGCAAAGGGTAGTAATCAATGGCATGAGGTCTAGTTGGCAGCCAGTATCAAGTGGAGTGCCCCAGAAGTCAGTCCTGGGGCTGGTTTTGTTCAGTATCTTCATCAGTGGCCGAGAAGATGGGATGGAGTTACACTCTCAGCAAGTTTGCAGATGACATCAAGCTAGGGGGAGTAGTAGATATAACCTAGACAATTTGGAGAATTGGATCAAAAGAAATCTCATGAAGTTTAGCAAGGACAAGTGCAAAGTCCTGCACTTTATTATAAGCATCGGTTACTTGCTCTGTTCATTTTTTAGGACTTTCTTTAGGAAAAATTGCAGTCAGTGAGATTTAAGCAAATGCTTAAGTACTTTGCTGAAGGATGTTAATCTCTGAAGAAGGACCTTTGTTTGAGGGGTGTGACCAAAAAAGCTTGTGTTTATGCAGCACCTAGCACAATGAGTCTAGGTCAAAGCTTATTTCCACTACCACAATACCGGGAGTTACCTCCGGTGTCCTTTTAGTCTGGGTTTTTTTTTTTTTTTTTTTTACTGTTTTGGACCCACTTTGGAATAGGAGTCTGCAGAAGACCAACACACAGCTGCACAGACCACTGAGTATGGAGAATATAGGAAACTGCTACCTGCTAATTCTATACCAGCTTGAAGGTAGGTTCATAAACAAAGGAAAGGTGAGGAAAAATTATAGTGCTGATGGGAATGGCAATGCTTTTGGCATGTGATGACTGAGGGGCAAGGCACTAGTTTCGGAAGCAAGAGTAAACTGAGAAAGTGGTGAGGGGAATGCAAAAATGTGGCAGCATCTTAGAGAAAAATGCCTTTTGTCTAGAGTGAGTGGCTAGTATTTATGGAAGTGAGTTTCCATTGAGCAAAGGACAAGGGCATGGAGACCTCTGTGTAATGTTACCATTGCTATTACCCATTGTGGTGCCTAACTTGTGTCTGTGGGTGGTGCTATCTGCAAGAAGCAAGCATGGTTCCATATCCTGGCTGAAAGGGCCTGACATGCCCTATGGCCATGAAATACTTCTGGAGAAGTTGCCAGCTCAGAGTCTCTCTGATCCTTTATTTACAGATTGGTTTGATCTGCACCTAAGTCATCCATTATGCTCTGGAGTGTGGGGGCTGATCTGTGTAGCATGATATGTCTGGTATGGTAAGCAACATAGATGGGTATTATCTGAGTGGTACCTACCACTGCCCATATCTCCTGGGCAAAGTCTGGAGAGCTCCTTTATTTCTTCTGTATTACTCAAATCTAGGCAGCTGCATCTTAGCTCTGTAGCATTTCCATCGGGTTGTTGTTGAACTTGATTGTGTAAAGTAGTAGATTGAGTGTGTCTCTCTTCTTTTTCTCTCTGGCCTGTTTGCTCGTTGCTTGCATAAGGATGTACATGTGGTGGCATACAGTGGCAGATTCCCAGTCTCGTGAATGCAGAGTAGACTTTATGTATTACCAGCATGTAACTTTGGTCAGCTTTGGAAGCTTCTTTGCTGCGTATCTCAGAACCTAATTAAGGCCATGCATAGCTGAAACAAGAGGCGTGTGTGCACAACACTTTAAAGTGGGTTAAATGCTTTTGCACTGCTTTAATGGTGTCAGTGTTTAAATGTCTCGGTGGCGTATTGCACATTAATTTCAGCTGCTGTAGGAAATTTGGCAGTGTAATGCGCCTTAAGTGACTTGGGGTGCAGCAAACTAAAACTCCTTCGAGGAGTTTTAGTTTGCTGCCCTTACTGCCATGGAGCAAAGCACCAGGCTCCATACAGCTGCACGGCTCTGCAGGAAGTCCTGCAGGCAGCCTGGCAGCAGCCTGGGAAGGCAGGCTCTGCCCAAGCCCAGGCACCGCTCCGCCTGCTGGCAGCTTGCCCTTCCCTCTCCATCGGAGAGGCAGGTAAGTCAACGGGGTGTGTGCATGACACGGGGGTTTAATCAGTCCTAAATTGAAGCAGTGTTTTTTTTTTTTTAAACCCACCACTTCAATTTAGGGCCCCTGTTTTGTCTACACGCCCTATGTCTTGTAGCATTTGTAGCTCAAAATCTGATGCAGTATTTCTTTCTCCCACTTTCTGTTCTCAGATAAGAATCTCTTCATTGTACCAATACATAAAACAAGTGAATAAGGCTGAATTATAGTGATGTAGGCTAGCCAGGAAAACATTTGGACAGGAGCCAGTTGAACTGTACTATAGAGCAAATACAAATCCCAGTCCAGGGATAATAACTGTCTTCTGTGCATTTGTCAGGCACACTGCACATACTGCTGTTTCTCCCATAATTACATTACTATACAAAACAGTGATTAAGTGATGATAAGGTTATGACTGAAGAAAACAAAAGGCTTTAAACCCATTGGATACTGATAGTGCTGCCCAGTGCTGAGACTGGCACTGAAGCACAAATGATGTAAGATGGTCATCACATGCAATAGGCCTAACACGATGAGGTCAGGATGGTGTCTGCACTAAACCTCTTTAGTGCTGGCTCTACAAGAAGATCTGTTGCTATGGACCCTGCTGGCCAAATGCAGTCTCATCTGTAGCATAAGTATCTAGAGAAACAGGGTTTCTAGTGGAGATACTGACACGGTGTTTATGATGTGGTGCTAGTATATCTTCTTGAATAGACAGCTGTTTTCATGATGGTGAAGCCTAGAGATCCCATCAGTGACCGGGATCACAGTGAGCTAAGCATTCTACAGATCCCTCATGAGACTCACTCTTTACCTTGAAGAGTTTTCAATCTAAGAAGACAAGACAGACAAAAGGTGGAAGGGGAAACCAGTATGAAATGGCATAATGAAGGTCACCTAGCGGATCAGTGGCAGAGCCTCCAGTGCCCAGCGTCTAGCTTCTGGATCCTGCTCCCCTGTGCAATGTTTGTCGAGCTCTCTCCCACCTGTTATGTGAGCTGCGAAAGATGAAGTCCTGATTCTTGCAGCATTTCCAACATGCACTCCACTGAGCGTTGCTTAAACATGAAAGAAATCTAAGGCAAAATACTGGGATTTAGGGGAACTGAAGAGATGCTGATTAGTTGAAAGATGTATCCTTCATATTTGGATTTTTGTCATTTTTTAATACATTACAGAACGTGGTTTGACACAATGATGTTCAGCCAAAACAAAGATGACAACAAAATGGTGCTTAAGCTGACTGAGGAATAACCAGTTAGTGTTTAAAACCCAGCTAATGAAGTGTGTGTATCTAATGTCTGAGTTAATTTTCAGTCATATTTGTTTTAAGCCAGCAGGTCAATATATTTTAATTTATATGTACCATCAAACAATCAAATATAGAAATAAACTGCCTTTTTATTTTTAAAGATGAATTAATTGTGTTTGCAAAAATATACTTAATGTACAGGAATCTTGATTCTGTGGGAGCTCCCTGAACATTCATTTAAATAAGATTTCCATTTGTATTACATTGGAGTTGACAGAGAGGAAAAAATGAACAGCCATCTGCTAATCAGTTTATTTCCCATAATGAAAACAAATCTGCAATCTCACTAATCTAAAGGGCACGGCGAGGTAACTTTGTGAGGAGCCAGTCACTTGCAGTACAGGTTGCTTAAGTTCATTTTGCAAGAAATAACAGTTTGCAAAGTTCTTGAAGAGTGAGATGCAACTGCTGAGTGCTGTGGGCTGGTCCCAATCTTGCTGATGGCAAAAGCTGCTCTTTAAATGATTTCAGTGCATGCTGCACTGGGCCCAAATGCATGAGCAAGGGCTTTTCATTTTCTAGTTTTGAAAGCAGTTAGCTATTACCAGATTTTTGTTTATAGTAAAGTCTCTGTGATCTGGCCTTAAAATAAGAGCTAATCATATTTACACTGCCAGCATTAAGGGGCCTCCGTGGAAACAAACTGGCCTCATGACTGCAGGTGAAATTCCTCAGAGGCTCTCAAAAGAGTTATTTTTGCTACTTTTTAAAAGTTGTTCTATCAATTTTCAGAAGTGTATGCTGAGGCAGAGGCAAATGGTCTAATCTTGTGTCACACTGCACAAGCCTCTAGTTTGAATACCTTGGTCATGATTAATGACCTTCAACCCCTCCTGGAAAATGGCAACCATTTTAAGGCTGTGATGAGGGGCCTGTCCTAGTTTACCTGCAGCCCCACAACCTCAAAAGAGGTCTCCCAAGCAATGGGCTACCTAATCCCTCACTGAGGCACCAGGCTTTGCAGTTGACCCAGATTCCAGTGTGCTCCCTTATCAATACAGGGCATATATCATCATTGGATAAAATAAGATAGATTATTACATCTGAGACTCATTCACCTTCACCTCTACCAGCTTTATATATGTCATCATCTCCTTACAGTGCTTCTCTGCTGTCTACATTGGATCAACAGGGCAACTCTGATGCAAAGGAACGAGGGGACGTTGATCTGACAAAAGCCTTTGGCAGGAGACTTTAAATTGCCTGGACTTTCCTGACCTCAGAATAGCTGTTTTTATCCAGTAAAACTTTGAAAGCCAACTTGAACGCAAAATTGAGGAAAAGAAATCATCCACGCGCTGGTTTGTGGTAAGGATTGTCTAAATAGAGGCTATAGTTTCTTATCCTGTTACTTGGATTACTTCTTGTGACTCCTTTTGGTCCCTATGGCTGCGTCCAGTTGTGTGTGGATGTTTGGTTCCCCAGGGATAACTAGTGGTGGCGCACATTGTGCCGCCGCTTGTTGTCCTTTGGGGAACGCCTGCGCCACATGCGCAGTGGCGTGAGGTATGTTACCTCGGGGGCAGTAGGGGAGGCTGGGGCCAGCACAGAGCTGGCCCCAGGAGCCTTACCTGGGAGCCTCCCAGGGCTTCAGCAGCTGCGATCCTGCCACACAAAGCCTGGCTGGCAGTGGAGTGCAGCTCCAGCTTTGTGTGGCGTATGCTGCCACCGCTTGTGCCATTCCACTTTTCCCCCCATATGGTTTTATTTATTTATTTTTTTGACCCCTGGATATCCCTCAGAAAAGCCCTCTACCCTGCTCCCTTGCAGCGTGGAGAACAACGGGAGGTGTGGTATGTGGTGCCGCATACGTGTCTGGTGCCGCATACTGCACAACCACGCTAGTCTGGACGCAGCCTATGGGTTTATTACTTGTTTGCTTCTCTCAGCACTGCCCCTTTCCCCCTTCCTTTCTCTCCCTTCCTTCCTTGTCTTGTATATTCAAATCACTCTATTTAGTGTCCTGCTCTGTGGATGCCATTTCATAGCATCTGATGAAGTGAGATCTTTCTTGGGAAAGCTTATGCATCTTTGATTCAGTTAGTCTATGAAGTGCATCTCTACCCTGCCTAGTGCACAGTAGTTGCAGAGCTGGGCACTGTCGGGGGCGGTGAAATGTCATCTCTTCATAGTTTAGAGTTGCAATCAAATGCCAACAGGTATGGGTAACAGGCAGGTATGTAGGCTCTCGGAGGTATAACTGGTCAGGTCTGTGCCGGGGCAGCAGCCAGAGCTGGACTGCTAGTGGTGGTGTGGCAACCAGGAGAGCAGCTCCTGGGAAGCAGACCCCACAGTTATATTACTGTAGGCTCTTTAAATGTGTCAATCTTCTGGTAGGGAAGGGACCAGGGAATTTTATCAGTCATGGGACTGTATTCTGGAAACTGTGCCTCAGCTCAATTTTGAGAAGATGAGGTACAGGGTAAGATTTTGGAGAGAAATTCTCTTTCTGGTGGCCTGTCAGGAGTCCTAGGAAATAGCCAGGAAAGAAGAGCCTTTCACAGTTCTGGTTGCTAAAAACTATGGAGGCCTTTGGTAATTGGGCCCAAGTGCTTTGTGCTGCTTTACTCTTGCTTTAATTTTTGTGTGTGTGTGTGTGTGTGTGTGTGCATGCACATGTGTATGAAATCTAAAGATAGAAAAATGTAGTTTGGGCTCTACTCCCTTGATGTCCCTAGCTTAGGGGACCCCTTGGTAATGGTGGACAACAATATTTTAGGCTGGTTCCATTTTTGAGCCTTATTTTTCTTTTCTGTTTAGCAGAATTAGAGAAGACCTTTGAGAGGCAGAGCTGTCAAAGGGTGAAGACAGTGGGCCAGCACCACGGTCTGCATTAGGGCCTGTTTCTGCATGTCTTCTCTCTTTCTGCCTTGTCTGCTTTGCAGATGATTCAGGGCAGGACGGTCTCTCCCTAACATGCTTGTACAGAGACCGACTCAGTGCAGCATTAATTTTTATTGGGGTCTTTAGGTGTTTCTGTAATACAAGTAATATTACTTGGCCTTAAAATGTTTCTGATAACTGTATGGATAGAGTAGATTTTCTTCTTTAAATCTGAAGCTATTAATGACATGATTTAAAAATTCCATCTGGCTAGAAACTGTTCCCTTTGCTTCTCTGGAAAACATGTGGTTTTTTTTTGCCATCTCTAAATTTACAATGACATGATCACACCCTTAAAGACTTGTCCATACGGGGCTGTAAGAGCAAACAGGTTAAAAGTCATAAATAAGTCATCCTCACTAATGACTCTATCCCAGTTGGTGAAGTTGGTCTTGAAAGGTTTCCACATTAATACTCTGAAGGCTGAAACTTTCATTACCGCATTCTGGCATGTAGTGCTGACATTCCCTTGCCAACTTGCTGATGCTAGGAAAACTTCCAAGCCCAAAGCTCTGGTGTGTAAAATATTACTTGCCAGCATGATGGTACAGGGATCCACTTTCCTTGCCAGCCCATTGGAGCAGAGATTTGTTTTCAATCGGAGTTAAGTCCTACAAATATTGCACTTGGGTTCCCCCCTGCTACTGCAAAATATGCAGTGAACAGTTACAGTTGTAAGCTTGCTCACTGCTGTCAGCATTCATCTCAGGCAAAATCAAGTGTGGGGAATCGGGCCAGTTCTTCCCAGATGGGGCAGTCCATAGGGTGTGGCTGAGATCCTGAAAGACAACTACAAAGCTAATCTGAATCACTGCTTGCAAGTCCAGCCTCAGTCCGTGATCAGCTTGCTGGCATGGCTGGGTCTAGAGCAGATGGGAGGGAGTGTAGGCCCAGGATCTCGCACTCATTGTATGGAGGGAAGACTGGCAGCTTGAAGGGAAATAGGATCACATGCAATTCAGTTTATTAAGTCTTGGGTGCAGATGTTATGCATTACTGTAGTTTAATTACATATAGGACTTTGCTACACATGAAACTTTCTGCACCGAACATAAATCACAGTGTACGGTTTTCTGCACATAACACTTTATACTACGATTGTGGTGTGCTAGAGTATTCTTTGGTAGAAGACATAAAGCCTCATGGATGAATTGTTGCCCAGTTCTTTTTCACGTTCAGCTGCCACTGGTAGAAATCAAGTCTGGGATGGTGGTGATACAGTAACTCGTATGAAGAACTACTTGCTGATGGGCCTCTAAGCCCAACTGTTATCTTGTGTAGTTTAGCAGCCCAAGAACCTGGCATTTTACTTTGTTTGAAGGGGAGAAATAATCAGTATCTGTATTTGGGTTTGATAGCTCAACTCCACCTCCACGTCTTTGTAGAATCTTCTTGAAGATCTGCAGTTTAGCAACACGAGACCAAATTTCGAGGGCTCAGCAGCTGCCATGGTGACACGTGACCAGATGTTCAAAGCACTTGGCATCCAACGTGCTGAGCTCCTTGGAAAATCTGGCCCTTAGTGTCAGGCCTTGGTTATCCAGGTCAGCCAAACTCCTCTCACTCAACAAGCTGTATTATGGAATTGGAGAGTGCCTCAGATGAAACCTCTGTCCATTCTTCTATGGTTGTATTTTTCTATCACTAAGGCTATGAAGGAGCATTAAAGGGTTAAACACTTTGCCCTCACATTGTCAAGCTGGAAGCTTCCTGTGGTACCTCTGAGGAGGTAAGGAGACTTACTTTTTGCTGAATTGGAGAACACAGGGGTGCTTTCGCAGACACTTGCTTAAGGAAAATTCATAGCTAAGCAGAAACCTGAAGGCTTTGGAGAATAATTTTACAAGCAACAGCTTTTGAGCATCAAGCCTCAGAGAAACTGCTGAGTCTATGGAAGGTATTTGGGATTTATTAGAAATGTTGCTAGGAAGATGGTAGTGCATAGCCTATTTTTATACATGACTTCCCTTTTGGTTACTTTGGAGATTTACATGCCCTGATCAGTGACATGACATAACCCTAAAATCATGGAGCATTTAACTGTGGATGTTGGTGAAGAAGAGCGTGTCAGACATTTATTGCTGCCTCCTAATCATCAGTAGGTAATTTCCCCTATCATTCTGTAACACCAGCAGGGCAATGTTCCTCAATCGCAGAAAATGCCAGTTGTACATCTTGGAGAGCTTAGGATGATTCTGCATGGGAGAAGACGGTCCATATTATTTACTTAGCAATGGAGAAATAGAATATTCTATGTAATTCTAATAGGTTTTTACAGGTACTATTGATGTAACTTGAAAGTCTCCACTCTTATGATTTCTGTCAGTGATCCTTGAAGCAATCACTCTTAAAAAGAAGGCCAGTAATCCATTTAATTATTGAAAGATGTAGTTTGTCCAGTTTTTGGACAGTTTTTAGGACAGATTCTGATGCAAACCTAAAATATTTAGCTATATATCCCTTCTCTCTAGTGGAATGCCACATCCAAATAGCTCCTGACCTTCAGGAAAGTTTGAGTTTAGTTGATCTGAACTTTTGAATTGCGGCGGGTAGCTAGTATTTAGCCTGTCCTCCCTCAGGTTTTTAATCTGCCAATTAAACACGTTATCTTGTCTGGCATCACTCTTATATTCAGCCAGTGGGCTCTCAAGGAATAAGGGGGCACGTGCAAAGATCCATTCAACCAACAACCTCTGCCTCCTAAGTGGTACAGCAGTTCTGCCAAGTGATTCACTTGGAATCTGTGCATAAGCTTGCATCGCTGCTAGCTTGACCGTGGGGTATGGCAACACTGCTGGCTCTTACAGCTCAATGCATCTTCCTCATACTTGAGTTTACAGTGAATTTTTGCAGTGTTTTTCAGCGATTCTCATCAATGTTTAGAACAGTCTGGTGGGTGAAACTTGGAGGTCTTTTGAATTGTAGCTCTGAGAGGTTTCATTGCCACACCAATTAAGATTCAGTAATATATTAGATAGTAAAATGGAACCTTGTGAGGAGAAGACTATCAGTTTAATGTGCATGCAGTAATTACCTATTTTGGGGTGACATTTAATAGACTGAAGTTCATTGCTGCTCTCTTAAGCCTTTTGTATAGGGATTGCTGGGAAAGAATGTGCACTTAACATTTTGGGATCTGACAAAAGAGGAGAAAATTATACCCCTCGGCTATATCCTTTTGATCTTGTATTTTTACCAAGGTGAAAATGAGGTGTACGCCAGACATAAGATACAGAGTATATTTGAGATCTTTACCTAGATTGTTTTGATAATTCCTCTTTGTGTTCATTCTGTGTTTGGATGTTATTAAGAGTAATAATACTAATCCTTGTAATTCTGATTGCAGAAGCATTTACAGAAGTATTTATTTCATACTGAAGGTTTTCTTTTTCTTTTGGCCGGGGGGGGGCACCTACTTCCCTCCT